GAGGGAGGCGGCACCGCCCGACAGTGGGGGGCCGGGCGGCCGCGAAATGGCAGCTCGGGCCCGCCCTCAGAGCCCCCAGGCGCTGCCCCCTCGCCCCACAACGTCCCCCAGTAGTGCGCAGTCGCCTCGGTCGGTTCAAATAGAGGTCCCAAACTCCTCCAGCTCCCCACAGAATGTAATTTCTGCCCCAGTCCTCAGGCTTTACAGCCTACCCCCCCGCCCCCAGCCATGCTTCCTGCCGTCAGGGAGCCTCAGCAGCCTGCCTCGGGGTTTGGGGAGATTAATGGTTTAAAACACGTATTTCACCCGTGCTGCCTTCGTGGAATCATGTAGTATTTTGGGTTGGAAGGGATCTTAAAGACCGTTTAGTTCCACCCCCTGCCATGAGCAGGGACGTCTTCCTCTATCCCACATTGCTCCAAGCCCTGTGTCCAACCTGGCCTTGAGCACTTCCAGGGATCCAGAGACAGCCGCAGCTTTTCCTTTATGCCTTTATGCCAGGGCCTCACCATCCTCATTGTAAATAAATTCTTCTTTATATCTAACCTAACCAGACCCTCTCTCAGTGTAAAATCAGCACCCCTTGCCTGTGCTTTGGATCCATCTTGGGTTTGGGCATCTTCAGTTGGTGCTGTGTATTTTTTATGAGCAATACTGAATGTAAATCACCCTTTGCACAGGTTTCCAAGGATATTTAATATGTGGCTAGTGAAATATTGATTGGGTTGTACAAATAAAAGGGGCTTTATCCCACGGTGGATCCTCATGGTGAAGTATTGCAGAGATGCGTTCCATGCAGTGCTTGGCTTTTCCAAGGAAAGCCTTAACCTCAGGTGAACTCTTTTTAATTTTGCTTCCTCCCTCCAGCTCTGCTTTCCTTAGCAATCCCAAACTCAAATAAGGGCCTTAAGACCAGGTCTTACCCATCTAATTGCCAGCACAGATCTAACAACGGAACCCACTCCATCAAATTATTAAAAACCTGTTGTCCCAGAAAACTCCAAGGTATCAGGCATGCTGGGAGACAAGCCAGAGGCATAGGAGCATGCAGGAAATTAAACAAATGGCACAGGAGAAAGTGTGACAAGGGAGATGACCCCATCATACAAGAGTAAAAACCACCCTATGTGAGCAGTACATAGCTATGGGAAGGTCTGGTGGGGAATGTAAGGGACTGTCCCTCATGGGAGCAGTGGAGAGAGAACAGGATCAACAGGAAAAAAGCATTTTGTAAAAAAAAAAATACTCAAGAAAATTGCTGTCAAAGGTTAGAATAGCACCAGCACAAAGCTGGGGACTGATGGGGAAAGAAAAAGAGCTGGGAAGACACAGAAGAGTTTCATTGGGGCTGGGGAGAGATGGAGGGAGGTGCTTTCCAGTGTTGAAGGAAGCTGCGAGGTTCCAGTGAAGCTCCTGGGCGGTGACGTGGAGGTGAAAAAGTTGTGGGGAAACTAGGCACCAGGAGGAGATCACAGTCTATATGGTTTGAGTCTATATGGGATTGTAGGAATTTCATGAGGTTAGTGAAAATTAATAGGGGGTTCATGGGAGGGGGGAGGCAGGGAGAGGACTAAGAGTCACCTAGACATAGAGAAGCTCGCATCCATCAGGAAGGGGGTCAAAGAGAGCCAAATGGTGTTGCCATGAGCTCAACTCTCACACAGCACTGCATCTTTCTTTTCCAGCCATGTAAAATGGCACCTAATGGGAAGGTGAGCCAGGAGCCAAGGACACGCACAGCCTTACCAGGTGGGTGTACCTCCACAGCCAGGCTAACAGAGCACAGGGGTGGACCAACAGACCAGGTGTCACACAGAGAACTAAAGGCACCAAGTGAAGTCCAGCATCAGTGTAGGAATACCTAGGAGCAGATACACTTACAGGAGAGATCAGGAAGAACTGGTTGCCTGGACCTCAGATTGAATGGAGCTTACGGAGTTCATGGGTAGAGGTCCCAGGAGAGGCTGATTGGGGCGATTAAAGCCTGAAGGTTCCCTCAGGCTCCTGAAAATCCTCCTTTGTTTTCCCTACAGAGGTGGCAGGATCCAAATTCAACACAATGGCACATGCCAGGCTGCTTCCTCACTATTCTATAGGATTTTGTGGCCCTTCTCTATCTCTGTCCTCATCACAAAGCAGGAAGTAAGTGTTCACCTGTATTCCAGCCTGTGTCAGACCTCTGGGAAAGTGGCCCCTGTCATTCCTTGTGTTCAAGTTTCATGCTGCCAGTCTACATAAAGCATCCGTGGTCTGGAGCTGGGTTTGTTGCTTTTTCCTGTGCAAACTTCTGGAGCACCAGCTGTTGCCACCATTTTCTGACTATATTTCATTGATTCTAGTATTGGACTTGTTCCCAAGTAGTTGCACTGTATTAAAATTCCAGTGGAAGAAAAACAAGCCAGTTTGTTGCTGTCTTGCATCAGGCAATGTCAGGACTGTGCTTCCCAGCACAGGAGACAGAACTGTGGGAGTGCCCTGGCTTGAGGCAAATTCTCATTTCAGCCTGGGGAGGGTGTCATGTTTGCCAGCTTATGTAAAGCATTGTGATCAGAGCTTTCAGTCCAAATATTCCAGCCTTTCTACAGATTCAGTTGCTGATGCTATTTTAGGGGACCTGATGTCTCTGGGGGATGACTCATTGAAGTTCATCTGTAGCTGGCCGGCATTAATCCAGACTAACAGTCTGATTTTCAAATGTTTCTTTACATAAGAAAACTGCTTAAGTGTGTGTTTAACTGTGGAACTTGGCTGAAAGAACCTGGTTTACGCTCTGTCCTGTGGTGGGCACAGAGCACCAGCAGCCTGAAGCTGCTGATGCTCTTCAGTAGCCCGTCAATAGCCCAGCTCGTGGGCTGGGAGCGTATCTGCAGGGTGATAGAACCACCTGGGAGGCCTTTTCCAAGGTAGTTCAGCAAGGAACATGCAGGGAGTGAATCCAAAGCAAGGCTCTACTGGCTTGGGTGAGACCCGTGGTGGGAGTACCTGCAAACCCCTCTTGTCATCTCTCTGATGCAAAAGCTGGGACTTTCTGCACCAGGACATTGCTGGATTACCTGCTTGCTACTGACAATGAATTTGGTAGCAATCCAAGTTAATTATTCTAATATAAATTGTTATAAAACCTGGCTGGTGTCACATTTGAGTCTTTCTGGTTTGTTTGCCTTTGGGGCATGAAGTTGGCTTTTGGGCTGTCAGTGCAGTTGTACCACAGCATTTTTAAAAGATATAAATCCATTTACTATGCTGCCTAACTCCCTATAATGTTGGCTGCTTCTGCATTTAACCAGGAGGGTGCTTTGCACACAGATTCTTCCTCTGATGAGAAGTGTTTGAGCCAGTGAAGTGGGAATGGAGAAAGCCATTCATGAGCACCTTCACAGGGCATCCGTTTTCTATTTGCTTTGCTCTTCGAGCCAACACTGTCTGGGAAAATTGCTCCTGAATGAAGCAACTCACAGCTCAAGGGACCTGTTGGCGGTGTGGCTGAAAGAGGGCTTTGGAAAACACAGATCATCTCCTGGAAATACCTGTAAGACCTCTAACTAAAAGTTTGGCATCTCAGAGCCTTTTTGGGAAAAACTATTTTCTTCTTTACTTTCACTTTAATCCTTGGTAAAATAATGATGTGTTTGGACTGCAAGCGTTGCAGGATTGAAGTGTTCTTACTTGTGGTGGTGATCTGGAGGGAGTGTGGTCAGCATGTGCCAAGTCTTTTCAGGTGTGGACCCTCCTGTTGCACACCTTTGTATTTCAGGGATGATGTTGCTCGTCATCAAGCAGAGGGGTGCTCACATTTAAACACCCAGCAGGAGCCCCCAGAGACATTTTGTAGAGCATGTGCATGTGCACAAAGAAGATCCTAAACATGAGATTCTAAATCCACATCCAAGGTATTTTCACCAGCTCTAACAACTCAGCCCATGAGAAACCTTGATGTTTTGGGGGGCCACAGCAGGCTGGTATATGGCAGGATGCTTTTGGAGCCACAAGGACGCATTCCAGCGCTTTTCAAAGCATGGGAAAACTCATTTCCATATTCCTACCTTCCCACCTAGACCACCACTTATCAATGCTGCCATCGAATGGTTCAGCAGTTGCACGTGCTGAAGGAATTTCTCTGCAAAGATTGGGTTTAACAGAAGGGATCTCTTCAGCTGGGAGAGCATGTGTGAGGGAAGGGAGGCCTGGGAGACTTGGGGTGAGCAGGCAGCAGTGAGGAGAAATATTTCAACAGTTATGAGCTTGAGAGTGGAAAGCTTGAAGTGAGATGTGTTAATCAGTGTGGAGGATTTGGGGTCCTGACTTGAGCTCAGGCTGGTGGTGTTTCCACTGTTGATGTTATCACAGAACCTTTTTTCTTCTGGGTTATCTCCAGCTCACACAGCTTTGGGGTGGTGATCCGAGGGGCTACTCAGCCCATGCTTATGGTTGAGGTTGTTAAGGAGCGTGCAGACACACAAAATCAAACCCTAGGCATTGCGAAATCTTCTGGACTTCCTTTCTCCCAGTGTGGGAGCTCTGTGTGTCTCTGGTGATGGAGAAGAAAGGCTTTTTCCAGAGATCCTGCCTGCCTCAAGGAATGCGGGAGCAGGAAAGAGTCTGGGTGAGATGGGAGGTTCACCCCGAATCTGCAGGCGGTTTGTGGTGTGGGACACCAGCACTTTCACAGCATTTTGGTATCACGAATCAGGGTTTGTCACGAGGAGATGCTGCAAGTTCTTGCGGAGGCTGAGTACATGTGGCTGCTGTCCCTGGCTGCTCCCAGTCATGGCTGTGGGGCTGAGCTGAAATCGATCAGAGCCTGTGGATGTGCTGTGACAAACTCCTTGTGCCCAGAGGCGATGCTTCCATAAATCCTGTAAGCATGTGCTTAACTTTGGGGAGCAAGGTGATTGCAAGGCAATATTTTATTCTTGTCAGCTTCAGTGTTAACAGTTACCAGAATCACTTGGGTAATTAAGCTCTTGCAAGAATAAAGTGAAAAAGCACCAGGTGTCTATGGAGATCTAAATCATTTTTCAGAGTGGGCAGAAGAGCAGTTTTTGGCTTTCCTCAGTAGCTGGAGTTCTAAAATCCACAGAGACAGCACAGATCCCCTCCAAATGAGCTACAGAGAGCAGCCCTGCTTTTCTTAGGTACCTTTTGCCAACCACCTACAAGAAGCTGGTGGGTGACCTGGGCTTCATATGTGACCACTGGTTGGAAACTTCAAAATAAAGGAAGGCCTTTTGCAAAAGGCATGGCTAAAATTTCATTCCAAAGAGTATTTTTGAGATGTATTAGTGTAACTGTTGCTGGAGTAACTGGCTGCAAAGTGCTGATGCCTGTCTTGCAGTTGGGAAAGATAAGGCTGGAACTGAAGAAGGTGAACTGGTTTCCTTTATTTGTGGGATGTCATTGGGAAGATCCCATCGCTGTTTATAAATATTTATTATTGGGATCACCGAATCATCATAGAATCATAGCATGGTTTGAGTAGGAAGGTAGGTCCCTACCTCTAAAGATCATCTTGTTCCACTCCCTGCCGTGGACAGAGACACCTTTCACTAGACCAGGTTGTTCGAAGCCCTGTCCAGCCTGGCCTTGGGCACTTCCAGGGATCCAGGGGCAGCCACAGCTGCTCTGGGCACCCTGTGCCAGGGCCTCACCATCCTCACAGGGAGGAATTTCTTCCCAATATCCCATCTATCCCTGCCCTCTGGCAGTGAGAAGCGATTCTATATGTCCTGTCCCTCCATCCTTCTCCCTGGTCCCTCTCCAGCTCTTCTGGAGTCCCTTTAGCCACTGGCAGTGGGCTCCCTGAAGCAATCTACTGCCCAGGTGAGCACACCTAGCTCTCCCAGCCTGGCTCCAGAACCTCCTCTCTCTGGACTCCGTGCAAGGCTCCAGGCTGAACTCTGCAGCCTTGGCCAGGGCCAGGACAGGGCTGTGGGGAGGTTCTCAGAGCACCCGGAGATGGCCAGTCCCTGCTCCCAGGAACAGCTGTTTCCCAAACACAATCCCAGATCTGTCCCTCAGGGGAAGGTCACCTTGGACAAAGGTTTTTGTGTCAAAAGCTGCCAAAATCCAATAAAGCCAAACCCCATTGCTTGGTCAGTGTCTTCCTTGGGGGTCCTGTAGGCAGATGAGCAGCCCCAAAATGGCCTGTGTCTTGTCATTATTGCCCAGCAGCTGGGCAGGACTAGCTCAGAGTCCCAGGGGGTGACACACAGGCCCCTTGGGGATGAAGCACGGGGTGAGGACCTGGAGCAATCATGTGAGCCCACACATGATGTGTGAGGTGGGACCAGCCTGGCAGATGTCCAGATGGTGCATCTGGAGCTGAACCAAGTCAGGGCTACTTACATTTATGTAGGGCAGGATGATTAAAGCTCCAGCCTTTGCAATTCCACCTAAGTTGGGTAATTAGAGAACTGGCTTTATTGACTAGGTAGCATGGCATGAAGCAATGTGCATACCCAGTCCACACCTGCTGTGTGCTCCTGACCCAGGCAGAGCAGAGCTCAGGGAGCTGCCTGTGTGCTGGAAGATGCAGCTGGGTGCCCAGCGAGGGTTCTAGAGATATCTACCAGGCCACTGGACACTTAATCTCCCCGGATCCCTGAGGGCACCTGCATGTGTAAAACCCTGTCACTGCGGCCGTGTTCAATCCTCATTGAATAAATGCCCCTGTGGATGTGGCTTCTAATTTTCTTCCTGTTTCACAAGGGATTTGTATAGAAGCAGGAAGCAGGATCCTGCTGCACCTGATGACTCCTGTCCCAAAGAGCTGATGAAATTTGTCACACCTACACCACATACTGTCCTGATGAGTCTCATCTTCATCCGGGCAGAGTGGGTGAAAAATGTCACCACATCCGAATGGCCTCACTTCACCCTGGGAAGAAATTATTCCCCAGGGCATGAGGAAGTGGAAGGTGAGCACCAGTGGGAGAAGAAGGTGGCCTTGGAGCCCTCCCAGGGCTATGCCAGGCTCTCACATCCATGGTGAACAGTAGTAGAGAGGGGGGAGCAGCTGGTTCTCCTCTGGGCCAGACTGCAGCCTTGTTTCCAAGCCAACCGGAGTTCCGTGAGCTCCCCAAATGGCTGCAGACAATGAGCCCAGCGAGTCTCCTGAGCACAGCTGATGCTGGAGGCAGGGAAAGCTGAGACAAAGGGTGCTCAGCCCCTGCAGCACCTCAGTGCCCATCCTGCCCTTTGCTGGCACTCAGTGTTCAGGTGAGAGGCTCTGGCAGGGATGAGACCACATGGGAATGGCATTCCTGAACTGCCCAGGGCATTTGTCAACTCCAGGAGGTAAGAAAGTCTATTCCTGTTCTGTGGATGAAACCACTCATGTGTTCTTCTCCCTGCAAAATGCCAAATTAACAAAAAAAAAGGAATCAAGCCTGGCACTGGTGAAAACCCAGATAGTACCATCTTCATGGACCATATGGCAAAACTGGGGCTTGGAGATGCCACCTGGCACAGTCAGGGTCCCCCCAGAGATGGTGGGCTCATGTTTATCCCATGGAATGATTACGAATTTCTGCCTGGAGGGTCTCAGTGCAATTTTATTCTGATTTTGAGGCAGTGCAACCTCTTTTCCTATATTTTCCCTAATGTTCTCCTCACATTTACATCCCATTGTCCTCGCAAGTCGCTTACCACAGACCCCAGACCACTCATTTTAATGGTGGCACTGGGAGTCTTCTCCACACTTGGCCCACAACACACTTCAGAAGGGCTCCATACCCCAGCTCCACCTCATGTCCCATCACTGGGTGGGCAGAAGAAGCTGGTAATCCCCCAAATCTTCTGCTTCCCCCCCCCCCCCC